TGCTGAAGGATTTAGAGAAGACTAAGAGAACACAGTTGCCTTTAAGTATTTTGTGGCCTGTCATGTAGAAGAAAACTTCACCCCAGAGGGATAAGACACTGGGTAGAAGTTGCAAAGGGACAAATTTAGGATCCATAATAACAATTGACTTTGATACAGGGTATCCCAAAAGTTACAGTGTAATTTTAAGCTTATATGTATAAGGCTTTTATATAATTGAACTTATACATATTATGTTGTTGTTCAGTCACATCTGACTCTTCATAATCTTATTTTGGGGTTTTCTTGGCAAAGATACTGGAGTGGTTTGCCATTTCCTTTTCCATTTCATTTTACAGATGGGGAAACTAAGGCAAACAGGGTTAACTGACTTGCCCAGGGTCACATAGCTAGTAAGTGTCTGAGGTCAGATATGAAGTCAGGAAGATGAGTCTTCCTGACTCCAGGCCCGGCAACTCTAGCCACTTCAACATCTGACTGCTCTGTTTTGTATTATACAGAGCATACAATTACTTATGTACCCTGTTTAAGCTTTAAAGCAAAGTACATTGCACGCATTATTTCACATGTCTCATGACTACCCTTTGATGAGGTAGGTACTGCAGGTATCATTAACCCCATTTTACAAATGAGGAAGCTAAGGATTGGAGAATGTAAACAACTGACCCACAATCACATGGTTAGTGGCAGAGCCAGAATCTCTGCACACAGGGTTTTCCTAACCCCGAGTCTAGCACTTGTCCACATTACATTTCCTCTCTTTGACCTAAAGGAAAACTTCCTAACAATTTGAGTTGTCCAAAAATGGAATGAGCTACCTTAGGAGGCAGACAGTTCTCTTCCCTGGAAGTCTCCAAGCAAAGGCTGGATGGCAAGTATTCTGTTATGTTATAGATGGAGTATCAACTCCACCATAGGTTGGACTAAATGCCCTCCTGGGTCCCTTCCAGCTCCTTGATTCTGATATTCTATAACTCTGTAACAACCAGGTGGCCAAGCTGTCAGCATGATGAGAGGTCTAGAGCAGAGATATCAAACATGTGGCCTGTGGCACCATATGCAGCTCACTCCCAACGGGAGCCTGAATCACTACTATGAGATTGTATCGTAAGAATGTTGTGTTCAGATGTTTTCAGTCATGTCTGACTCTTTATGATCCCATTTGGCATTTTCTTGGCAAAGACACTGAAGTGGTTTGCCATTTCTTTCTCCTGCTCATTTTTATAGATGAAGAAACTGAGGCAAATGGGGTTAAGTGACCTGCCCAGGGTCACACAGCTAGTAAGTGTCTGAGGCTGGATTTGAACTCAGAGAGATGAGTTTTCCTGACTCCAGGCCCAACACTCTATCCACCGTGCCACCAGCAGCTCCTACCATAAGAATGCTAACAACAAAACATTCCTTTCACTCCATAAAAGTGAGGTATGGTCTTCCATAACTACAGTGTCACTAATAGATAAAAATGTAGTTGGTAAATATTTAACAAAATTAAAATACAAGAAAACATAGTAAGTATTACATTTTAAAACTAAGTCAATATGCAGCCCTCAGGGATCCTTTATGCATAATTTAGTGGGCCCCATTGTTATTTGAGTTTGATACCACTGGTTTAGAGAATAATTATGAAGAATAATTGAGATTTCTCCACACAGTTAAGGAAGATGCGATCAGGGGGGCAGCTAGGTGGCACAGTGGATAGAGTACGGGCCCTGAAGTCAGGAGGCCCTGAGTTCAAATCCAGCCTCTGACCAAACACTTGACACTTACTAGTTGTGTGACCCTGGGCAAGTCACTTAACCCCATTGCCTAGTCAAAAAGAAAAAAAGAAAAAAAAAGACATGATCATTGCTCTCAAGTGTGCATTTAGTCATCCAACAAACATATTAATTTTGATAAGCACAGTAGCAGACCCTATGGGATATATAAAGGTGAATAAGATGTACTTTGGGGCAGCTAGGTGGTTCGGTGGATAGAGCAATGAGCCTGGAGTCAGGAAGACTCATCTTCCTGAGTTCAAATCTAGCTTCAGATGCTTACTAGCTGTGTGATCCTGGGCAAGTCACTTAACCCTGTTGGCCTCAGTTTCCTCATCTATAAAAATGAGTTGGAGAAGGAAAGGGCAAACCACTCCAGTATCTTTGTCAAGAAAACTCCAAATGGGGTCGCAAAAAGTCAGACATAACTGAAAACAACTGAACAAAAAGAAACCCAAAGATGTACTTCCTACTCAAGATGCTTAGAGCCTCCCTTGCTGTGGGTATACTGGTGGAGTTACCTGCTAAATTAGAGAGAGCTTGGTATCATATAAAAAGCATAGGAGTTAGAGTCAGCAGAACACCAAGTCTGAATTCTTCCCTAGATACTTTCTGGCTATGAGATCAGGTACAAGTTACTGTCTGAGCTTCAGTTTCAATGAAACTTAGTAGCACTCGATAGGATAAAAACAATGCCTTTCTTCACTGTATGCTTCATGATCTAGCACTGAATTGTCAAGGTAAAATCACAGCAATAATCCTCTAAGATATGGAATGAATTATGATGATTGACTGCAGCCCGTCTCCAACCAGATAGGGCAGGATTAGAGCAGTCCTGCCGGGCTAAGTATTCATTGAAAGGAAGGATCTTTGCATAGGCGGTCCTGCTTCTCACTCATACTTCTTGGAATCTCTAGCTTCCTTCAAAGCTTATCTCAAGTGTTGCCTCCTGTGTAAAGCCTTTACTGATCCTCTCAGCTACCAACATCTTCCCATTAAATTATCTCATATTTATTTTGCATATGTCTTATGTATATGAACACACATTGTACATGTAGCACCCTCACTGCAGCTAAACCCTCGAATTCACACTCCTAGATTTGGTCGGGGGTGAGGGGAGGGTTTGCTGCGCGGAGAGACAACTATCCTCAAGCCGAAGGTCCTTTGTGGGTCTATGATCCTAAAATTACAACTCACAAGCCCCCATTGGTGTGCTTACTTTAACAGCCAGTAGTCACAATTAACTCAAAGGCATTTAGTGAGATGGTATCAGAAGAATGGGGTACTATAAGAAATGGGACAGCTAGGTGGCTCAGTGAGTAAAGTGCTGAGCCTGGAGTCAGGAGGACCTGAGTTCATTAGCTGTGTGATCCTGGGTAAGTCATTTAACCCCTGTTCATCTTAACCCACTGGAGAAGGAAATGAGAAACCACCCCAATTTCCTTGTCAAGAAAACCCCATGAACAGTGTTGGCGTGCTATGGTCCACAGGGTCATGAAGAGTCAGACACAATTGAACAACTGAACAACAAATCATAAGAATACTAGTAACAAAACATTCCTGCCTTCAATAAAATTGAGGTACAGTCTTCCATAACTTCACACAGTATCTCTATTAGGAAGATTAGAAGCAGGGAGGCCAGTTAGGAAAACATTTTAATAGTTCTGGTGAAAAGTAAAGAAGACTTAAGCTAGGGTGGTAGCAGTGGGAACAGAAAGTTTGTGATTATGAGTGAAAATCACTGGCATTTGTTGACAGGTTGGATGGGGGTGGGGTGGGGTGAAGGAGTCACAAGGATCCAAGACAGCATCGAGGTTATACATCTGAATGACTCAGGGATGGTGGGACTATAAACAAAAATGAAGAACTCAGGAAGACAAACAGGTTTTGAAAAGATCTTTAGACATGTTGAGCTTGTGGTACAGGCAGGATAGCCAGGAGATTCTAGCTGACAATCGGAAATGCAGAGATATAGATTTGTGAGTCACCTAAATGGAGGTGATAGTTGAAGCTGTGGGAGTGGATGAGATCACCAAGAGAGAAGAGAAGAGAAGGGAAGGGAAGGGAAAAGAAAGGAAGGGGAGGGAAGGGGAGAGAAGGGGAGGGGAGGGGAGGGGAGGGGAGGGAAGGGGAGAGGAGTGGAGGGAAGGGGAGGGAGAAGGGGAAAGGAGAGGAGAGGAAAAAGGAAGGGAGGAAAAGAATAGAGAAGAGAAGGGAAAGGAGAAGAGAAAGAGGGGACAGGTGGAGAGAGAAGAGGAAAGGAAAGGGAAAGCAGAAAAAGAGCAACTAAAAAAGTTCTGCAAGTTTAGTAGTGCAGGTTCAAAAGTGCAATATGGCAGAAAAAAGCTATACACAAATCATAGAGTCAGAGATTTAGAGCTGAAAGGGATCTTAGAAGCCATCAAGTCTAATCCTCTCATTTTGAAGATGAGGAAAATGCATCCAGAATGGAGGAGGTGATAGTCTCTTCCATCAGATCACAACTGGAATGCTGGGCTCAGTTCTGTGCACCACATTTTAGGAAAGCCATTGCTAGCATAGAAGGTTCCCAGATGACAGTATCTAGGACACTGAATGAGCTGGAGACTATGTCATATAATAATTATAAAAGCCCCTTACATGTGCTATCTCATCTGATCCTTGAAATAACCCTGTGAAGCAGGTGATCTTTTTACTCCCATTTTACAGATGAAGAAACTGGGCCTCAGCATTAAATGTCTTGCCAAGGGTCACACAGCTAATAAGTATCTGAGGCAAGATTTAAACTCAGGTCTTCCTGACTCCAAGTCCAGCAATGCTACATACTATACCAGTTAAAGGAAATCGGAGCTGTTTAGACTGCAGAAGAGCAGACTTAGGAAAGACTTCAAGTATTTGAAGAATTACTATGTAGAAGATGAACAGAATTAGAAACAACAAACAGGTAGAAGTTTCAGAGGGGGCAAATGTAGGCTCAATATAAATGTAAAATATCCTTTAAAATTAGATAACAATATTTGTAATTGTCTGCCTCAGGAAGTAGTTAGTTCCTCCTCACCAGAGGTCTTCAAGCAAAGACTAGATAATGACTTCCTAAAAATGTCTTGGAAATGATTTCTTCTCATGTATGGATTTGACTAGATAGCTTTTAAGGTCTCTTCGCCTCTGAGACCCAATGATTCTCTGACCAGTCAGAAGGTATAGTCACCATGAGAAGAAAGAGTATCAAAAATAATGTTGGTTTTCTTTTTTTCCTTTTCCCCATAGTCAAATGATGTTCAGAAGCTAAGGAAGATGAGAACTGAGAAAAGGCCATTTGACCTGGTAATCTGGAGGTAATGAATTCAGAAAGAGCAATCTCATGACAGTGGTAGAGATAGAAGCTAAGTAGAGAGTAGTAAGGAACTTTAGGCAATAAATAAGTGTAAAGTATACTTTCTTTTTTTTAATATTCATTTTTAGAAGATTTTTGAGTTCCAAATTTTTCTCCTTCCCTTCCTTCCCTCCCTCAGTAAGCAATTTGATATAGGTTATATGTGTGCAGTCATGTAAAACATATTTCCTTCCACATTAGTCATGTTGTAAAAGAAGAAACAGAACAAAAGGAAAAACCACAAAAAAAAGTGAAAGTAACAGACTTCATCAGCTCTTTATCTAGATGTGGATAGCATTTTTTCCATCATGAGTCTTTTGTCTTGGATCATTGTATTGCAGAGAAGAGCTAAGTCGGGGGCAGCTAGGTGGCTCAGTGGATAGAGCACTGGCCCTGGATTCAGGAGGGCCTGAGTTCAAATCCAGTCTCAGACACATAACACTTACTAGCTGTGTGACCCTGGGCAAGTCACTTAACCCCATTGCCTAACCAAAAAAAAAAAAGGAAAAAAAAAAAGAAGAGCTAAGTCTATCACAGTTGATCATCACACAAGGTTACTATTACCATGTACAGTGTTCTCCTGGTTCTTCTCACTTCATTCAGCATTAGTTCACATCTTTCCAGGGTTTTCTGAAATCATCCTGCTTGTCATTTCTTACAGCACAATAGTATTCCATCACAATTATATACCATGACTTGTTCAGTTATTCTCCAATTGATGGGCATCCCCTCAATTTCCAATTCTTTGCCACAAGGCACACTTTCAAAGTGTTTGACAATAAAAGGGAAGAGAAATATGTGATTATAGCTTGAGGGGATAGAAGGTCTTTTAAGGAAAGTCTTTCAGAATTGGGGAAATGTCAGCATATTTATAAGTGGAGGGAAACAGTAGTTGGAGGGAGAGAGATTACAGATGCAAGAAAGAGAGAAGATAAGTGGACCAAAATCCAGAAGATACAGAAAGAGAGGATAGGATAAAGGGCACAAGTGAAGTGGGTCTTCATACTGAAAAGAATGAGAATTCTGATGGGTAATGACTCAGTTTTGAAGTAAGGAGAAAGAAAATTGAGAAAATTTAAGTCAGAGGGCAATGGTCTTTTCAGTAAAGTAAAAAGCAAGGCATCTACTAGGAATGAGGGAAAGGAGTTGAGGTTTGAGGTGAGAGTAGAGGGTTTAGAGCAGCTGCTGTGGGGCGTGTGCTAGAGATAAAAGAAAATTAATTCATTCAGTGGGATAAATTACATTCAATTCAATTCAGTCGTTTTTCAGTCATGTCTGACTCTTTGTGACCCCATTTAGGGTTTTCTTAGCAAAAAATACTGGAACGGTTTGCCATTTCCTTCTCCAGCTCATTTTACAGATGAGGAAACTGAGGCAAACTGTGTTCGGTGACTTGCCCAGGGTCACACAGCTAGTAGTGTCAGAGGACAGATTTCAACTCAGGAGGATGTCTTCCTGACTCTTAGCTCAGCACTCTATCCATTGTGCCACATAGCTGCCCTCAATATATAGCAGTCACTTAATAAATACTTATTGATACATAGATAGAAGTACTGTTATAGCATATAGCAGGGTGGGGAACGTGCTATCTAATTACTAAGCACAGGAATAGAGCCTATCAGTGGAAGTTAAAAAAGAACAAATCTCAGCTCAATGTAAGGATGAATGTTCTAACCATGCAAGGATTTCTATCATTAGAAATGTAATGAGCAAAGGGTGGGAATGAACACATAACCCATTTGTATGGTAATGGGGAGAGTAGAGAGGAGGCTCGATAAGTATGACCAAACTGATGCTGAGAATGGTAAGAATGAGGATGAAGACAAATGATGAAGATGGTGATGGTGATGGTGATGGTGATAGTGTTGGGAAAGCAGAGGTGGAGGTTGTAATGGTGACAGGATGGAGATGATGATGTAATCAATGGTGATGACAGGAAGAAGGACAGGAATTGGCTGAAATTATGATGATGATGCAGACAGTGGTTGTGACAGAGATAAGATGGGGAGTGGAGAGGGATTGAGAATGGAGATGGAGATAATGATGGGAATAGGGATGGGAATGCTTATAAAGATGTAAATGGAGTTGAGGTTGCAATAGTTAGAGGGATGGATTGGGCTTAGAGATAGAATTAGTGATGCAGAAAGGGAGATAACAGGAATGGGGATGGAAGAAGATGTTGGGATAGGGGTGGAGAAGGTGAGTGATAAGGACGGTGATAGACATAGGGATGTCGACAGAGATATGCATGAAAATGTAGATGATTTTAGAGATGGTTACAGGTTGCACATGGAGATAGTATTTTGGAATGAGAACAGGGATGGAGATAGGGATAGGAATGCGGTTACAAGGATGGGGATGGAGAGAAGAGTAAGGACAAATCTGAGGATAAGAATGGGAATATTTACAGGGATGGGATAAGGATGAAGGAATGGATATGAGGGGAATGAAGATGAGGAAAAAGGATGGATACAAAACTGGGGACAGTGACAGTTTGATTCAATTCGACAAGAATTTATTAAGTGTCTATGATGTGCCAGTCACTATAATGGCCCCAGGACTGCAAATGCCAAACTGTCCCTGCCCTCAAGGATATCATATTCCACTTCAAGAAACAATGTGTGAACATTATATAAAATATATTCAAAAGAAATACAAAGTAATTGGGGGAGGTAGGTGGAGCCCTGACAGTTGGGAAAAATCAGGCAAGGCTGGAAAAGGCAGAGGTGAGAAAGGAAGCTAAAAATGGAGGACAACCTGTGCAAAGACCCAGAGACAGAATATAGAATCATAGTGTCATATGTCTAGCACTGGAAGAGACCTTAGAAGCCATCAAATCCAACCTTTATATTTTCAGATGAGCAAACTGAGACACAGAGAGGTTAAGTAATGTGCCCAGGATCACATGACTAATAAATGTCTGAGGCTGGCTTTGAAACCAGGGCTTCCTGACATCAAGCTGCCTCTGTAATAACCTCTTCCTCCTCTGCGCAGTAGCACTTTTTAAAACCTCTCTAATAAGCTTGTCATGCATCATTTTGTCTTTTGTTAATCTGTGGATGTATTCTTTCTCCTTATTAGGTTTAAGTTGTATCAGGGCATGGACCACATCTTATCTAAAATGTATAAAATTATCTAAAATGTATATTCCACCAGCTCAACGCCTCTCTCAAAATACAGTACAGTTATCCCTTCCACATCACGACTTTCCCCAGCGTGAGTTTCCGTATGTCATGGATAGGCTTAAGAAATTAAATGGGAATTTTGGAAGAGTTTTGCAGAAGCTACAGGTGACATGCAAAGGTCAATAGATGCCACAAAGCCTATGACCAAATATTTAACCCAAATTTTACAAAAAGGTACTGTAAACACTCCATAAAAGAAAAAGAAAAAATTCATCTCTGCTAAGAAGGGAGGGACAAAAATTTTTACGTGGATTTTCCAGATTGTAGGGTGCCATGCCACTAAACCCCCCCCCAATGTAGAATAGATAACTAAAGTGCTCTACCCACTGAAAATAGTCACTATTTGTTTAATTGAATGATCACACCCAAAGAGCATTGATTAAGGCATCAATGTCAATGTGAATGGAAGTCTCTGGTGATAGGTCTCAGGGCTCTGTGCTTAGCTCAATTTTGTTTAATCAGAATTTTTGTCAATGACTTAGAGGAAGACAGGATGTCATACTTTTGTAACACCTCCTCTGGGCCCACTTGCCTAACTTGCACTGACACGAGTAGGTTGGATCCCTTTAGCAACAGAAGCTGCCAGGGATTTTATTAACTTTATGGGTGTCTATCCTAACACAGTGGGTCACAAGACCCCACAAGTGTGCTTCCTCTTAAAATCAGTAAGTAAATTTAATTAGCATTTTAGAAAAGATGTTTATTCAAATGGTATACCAAGAATAACAGTTAGAATGGAGCCATGTGTACAGAGGTGATTGTTGAATTCATGGAAATTGATAAGATCACCAAGAGATAGAGAACAGAAAGAGAGCCCAAAACCAAGCCCTGGGATACACCTACATAGACACTGGGCACATGAGTAATGATAGACTGATATGATAGAAGACTGAGATGGAATGCTCATACTGGTTAGAGGAGAAACAAGAGAGAACAATATCATGAAAACCTGGGGGGGAAAGGCTATATAAGAGAAGGCTGAAAGCAACAGGGCAGAAAAGTCAAGAAGGATCAGAACTGAGAAAACGTCATTGAATTCAGCAATAGAGATAATTGGTGACTTTGGAAAGAATAGTTTGTGTAAAGTGAAGGGATAGGGGACCAAACTGCAAAGGGCTGAAAAGTGAGTGGGAAGGAGCAAAATGGAGGCAAGGATTGTAGGAAGTTTTCCCCATCAGTTTGACTAAAAAAGAGGTGGAAGACATAGAATAATAGCTATAGGCCATGAGGATGGATACAAGGATGAGGAGTCATAAGGATAAGACGGTGACTGTAGTGTTGACAAAGATAGGGGTGTGGATGGTGACAGAGAGAAGTATAGGGAAGAAGGCTTTAGGACTGATGGCAAACTAAGAAATATCCAGCCTGCCTCACTCCCTCAGACCTGCGCCAACAGCATAAACACTTTCTCTGCCTCTAGTCCTATGACTCAGGATATATCAGCAATTGCCAGAGATAAAAATCAATTAGCAGTAGGATACATGCAGTAGTCATAGAGAAGGGGTGCTGGGCCATGCCCAGACCCATAAAAGGGACCCAGGCTAGGAATCTTAGAGTCATCTATGATATCTCCCTTTCCTCTCACTCATCCATCAGTCGCCAAGTCTTGCCAGTTCTACTCCTCCCATCTTTCTTCTCCTTTCCATTCTACAGCCAGAGTTCTAATCTGGACGTTTTGAAACCACAGGAAAGAAAATGAGCTTTTTTTCTGACTTGGAATCTGGAAAAAAATTGACATGCACTTGATATTAATTTTTAAAGTGCTATTTCAGCCCTA